GGACGAGCCGCCGACGTTGGCACTGTCCACACTCCCATACCTTAGTAGGTCTGACATTGTCGATGACTGATACATGTCCAATGTATTTATAATTTTTAAAGTATTTATGCTATATTCATACCAATTGCATGGTTTTGGCACCTTTTTATATGATTTTATTAGACAAACCTATATAATCTAGTGTCCAGTGTTAGTTGTTGTTTTCGATATCTTTTTCAAATTTGCAGAAATAATATTTTTGGGGCCCAAAAAAATTGAGAAAATACCTTTGTGAAGTTTCAAGCTAGAAGATACCTTGGGCCAGAAGCCCACATAGAGGGGGAGGCCCAGGGCCTCCATGCGACCCCACCATGCACCCTAGGGTTGCAGCACGGGGAGAGGGCCTGTGGAGCCGTTGGTGGCCTCTTCGCCGCCTCTCACGCCCCCTAGCTCTATATATACTAAAAATATTGGAAATATTTTTATGTGATTTTTCCGTTGCCGCCTCTCTACTTCTTGGGGGAGGCCCAACTAGCACTTTTTTGGCACCCCACCGGATGGGGGGGGGGATCTTCTTAGAGCTCTCCATCGTTCCTTGTCGCTCCTATGATGATGTGGGAGTAGTTCTCTCTCGGGGCTGAGAGTTTGTATCGGTAGCTATGTGTTATTTCTCTGCTGCTTGATCATCGAAGTTTTCAATATTGTCCATGATCATGGATTTTGTTAATTAGGTTGAATTAAGATGTATCCCGTCGTATTCTCTTTGTGGCTAATTGAATATTTCTCATGCTATGAGTTCCTTTATGTTGGATTGAATCTTTGGGAATCGGTGAGATTATGTGATGCATATCTAGTATAATCGTCGAATATAGTTGTAGTGACATTGTAGTGACTCTATAGATTAAGATTAGAACGAAGACGATAATGATGTGATTGTTTAGTATAATTTTCGAGGCTGCCTGAAGTGGCATTGAGGCGTGTCGTATGGATTAATATTAGAAAGAAAAACTTAGAGGTATGCTTAGCCATACCCGCGCTATCTCATATCACTTTGATCTAATAAAAAGTGGACCTTTCGAGTGATTTTTTTGCCATACTTATTAATGATGTTGAGAGACATAGGTGAAAGTATGAACCCTAGTTTTAAGGATTGAAACACCATTTTACTCACTTTGCTACTTGTTACCTTCTTGTACTTATTTATTACAAAAACGTAAAAATATTGTCACATCCAAATTATGAATCTTTTTGCAGAAGTAGTGCACATCTACAATTGACAATTGTATTGGATGTGTTGAGGACACAAAAGATTACTTGTATCTTGATTGCAAGGTTGTTTGAGAGGGAATAATTTCAACCTACACCTCCCACATATTGATAACCTTAGGTGATCCACTTGAGAGAAATTGTTTCTTTCCTACACTCCAATGCACTTGGAGACCCAACAAAATCTACAAGAATAGAAGTGCGTAGTAGACATCAAGATCTGGAGCCATTGCCGGGGAGTTAGTGCTTGAAAGTGTTTTCTTTAGATCTTGCGATTGAATATTTTAATTTCTTGTTCACTAATTTTCTTATGGAAGAAAACAACAAAAAATGAAGGTACTTGATTATCTTTATAAAATTTATCCTGAAAGCATGGAATGAAAAGCTAGTCATGAATGAATAAAAGAGGAAATTAGAAAGGTTATTGATGTATGTTCTTTGAATATTAATCATGGTTACAATAGGCATGATAAATGTTTTACAAAAAAAGTTTCATATAAGTGTGTTTATTATTGTGGAAAGAATAGACCTTATGAAAGAGTGGAATTTCTCGATGGGAGGTATTGTAAGAGGCATAAGCATGAGAGAACTAAAGTATGACTTAAGAAACTCAATGATCATGCTAAATGATTTTGATGCATCCATCCCATTACATGTGAACATTGTGATGAGGTTGGTCATTTTAATTTGCAATGCATGTACCATCACGACCAAATCATTGCCAAATGCTCTGACGGCATGATCATGTACCATCATGATCACCCATGTACTTTATGATGAACTTAGGCTATTTTTGGGGTGTGAAGAATTGAGACATAAAAATTCCTGGTTTAATTGCACTCTCACATATGGGATTAATAATGTCCTAAGTGATATCTATATGTTTTATGTGGTGAATTGCAATAAGAATGCCTACATAGCCAAACTTAGGGAGAGAAATTTATTTGAATATAAAAATAATATTTTTTCTCATGTTGCCACTCATGTGGGAGAAAAAGTATCCCAACTTTATCCCCTTTTTTTCTAAGAATGAATCATGGGACATGTTGAAGCTTCCTTTCCAACCACTCTCTCCAAAGAAGAGGTCAGAAAAAATACTTGACCCCACTCCTAAGGTGGTGAAGAAGAAAGACAAAAATGGTGTCCCTCCCAAAGCATGTTGCTCCTATTATAATTATGCCTAATGATTATGATCTCGGTATAATATCATAGTCAAGCAGTTTATAAATTAGCATACGGCTTGAACATGTTGATTATCTTGCTTTGGAGCTCTGTGATATTTATCCTATTACTTGTGAATGCTGCAATGATGACATTGGCCACTTTATTTTTCAATGCAATAATACTCATTATACATTTGAGGCTAATTATCATAATGAGAGCTCTAGGTTTCCTCTAAAGCTAGTTGAAAAATTTACACGTCATGTTGGGTGTGAAGTATTATTGAAGAATATTACTATGCTTAAAAAGTGCCCATTGTTAGAAATAATTAAATAGGAAATTCCGCGTATTTATGAGTACTTTTTAAAGACTTGTTCTGATAATATATTGATTAATGTTGGAGCAGGCAGCTCGTGCATGAAGGCTTCTAAACCATGCCTGGGCCGGAGACATCCATGGCGCGCTGGGCGTTGTGGCCACCGTCGAGTACATCCATCTTTGGAGGAGTCTTCTCCAAGTGATCCTCTCTTCCGTCCTAGATTCCATTCGATGGCGTGGATGATAGTGGGATCTACTCCGCCTCCTCTTGTTACATAACTCTCTTTCAAGGCTCTATCAGCAACATGGATTGGCGGTTGATTTGGAAGGGATGGGCACCATCCAATGTCAAGGTATTCCTCTGGCTCGCGAAGCAAAATCAGTGTTGGACAGCTGAAAGATTGTTCAAACGTGTCTTGGCCCACCCTCCGCGTTGCGTGCTCTGTGTCCAAGGTGCCGAGGACATTCATCATCTGCTAGTGGACTATGTCTTCTCCAAGGAGGTCTGGTACCGCACCCTGGCTTTGTGCAAATTCACCACCGGTCCTCCGAATGGCGATCTCCCACTGTACGAATAGTGGAGGGCTGCAACCAACTCCACTCTTCCCTCCCTTCGCAAGGCCCTCGTGTCGATTGTCCCCTTGGCCGCCTGGGAAATCTAGAAACACCGCATTGAGTGCATCTTCGACCAACAGCAACCCTCCATCAGCTACCTCTTCTCATCCATTCAAGATGCGCACGCACTTGGTCCAAGGCCGACACCAAAGGGATCCAAATTTTTCTTGATGTAATGTAAACCGTGATGTAATAGAGTTGAGCAACCCCCTGTCCTCTGCTCATGAGAGCCTCCGACACACCTTATAGTGTACAAGCCGGAGGATCTCAACACCTGTAATTCACTCTATCTATCAATGCAATGATACGCTTCCATGTGTATTGGAGAAAAAAAACTGATTAATGAACACAAGTGACAGAGAGTTCAACCACTAAATAATACTCCCTACATTCCTAAATGAATAAGTCTATTTTTTTGAGCATCAGTACAGACACAAGCGCTCATATACACGCGCATACACTCATCCCTATGAACGCACACACGCACACCCTACCCCTATGAGCACCTCCGAAAGACTGAGCCGGCATATCATCTTGAGATTTACGAAGTCACCGTTCTAGAGATTTCTATATGCACTACATGCATGTATATAGATGTATTTTAGAGTGTAGATTCATTCATTTTTCTTCGTATGTAGTTTATATTAGAATCTCTACAAAGCCTTATACTTAACAGAGGGAGTAGTCATTTGCTTGAATCGCAAACTACTGTGGATGAAGAGAACTTCGGTGGAACGAATGAACTTGAAAAGTGTTTTTGGTGCGAACTTAGAGAAAGATGTAGATAATGCTTTTCATACTACTCCATCCGTTCCTAAATATAAGTCTTTTAAAGATTTTAACATGGACTACATACAGATGTATATAGACGTATTTTAAAGTGTAGATTCATTCATTTTACTTCGTATGTAGACCTTATTACAATCTAAAATGTCTTATATTTAGGGACGGAGGGAGTACTATGGAAGAAGATAAGTGGCCGCAGAATCACAACGTTGAGATGGAAGGTGAATTCACAGACTCACAGACAGAGGAAGGCTTTGTCCTAATCGGATTGTGAAAGAGTTGTGCCTTTTTTTTTAACCGAAGGGTTGTGTCTTTGATATAAGGTGTACGCTAAGGCTCTAGCCAGGACCATGTTATCATCTATTGCTCGTTTCACTCTTCTTCCAATCGACATTTCCAATTTCCACCAGCAAAAGCGTGCAACACGGCCGCGCGAGTAGGTACAGTACGTTGGAGCTAGCGTGCAACACGACCGGGCTGGACCGCTGGAGGGTGTCAAATCGCGCGCTGATACGATGCACCGGTACGGTGGGTAATAAATCTCCATCTACACGTACGTCGGCAATGGCCGCTAGCCGTGCATGCCTCACGACTTGCTTTGTCGATCACTACGGACTAGTACTAGTACAAGAACCAATAATCCTACATCCACGCCAGCATGCAGCGCGAAACAAAAGGCTGCAATTTCTTGTGGAAAAAAAATGTGTGCCTCACGTACGATTGCACGACCCTTTGATCCGCAACCACAAGCACATCATCTCCTGCGCCCAGCCTCGTGTATAAAAACATCGACATCTTCCTGCACCAAGCAATGCAAGCTCTCATCTCCATCTCCGCGCTGCTTCCGCTCTAGCTTCTAGCTAGCTAAGTAAGATATGGCTGCAATGGCGACGACGGTGTTCCAGGCGGGGCCAATGGAGGTGGATGTGAAGCACGTGGACAAGAGTATGATCCCGAACCTGGCCAGGCCGTTGATGGTGGTGGCGCCCAAGGAGACCGGCGCGTACCCCGTCATCGTCTTCCTGCACGGCTGGAACATGCTCAACAGCTGGTACGAGCAGCTCCTCACACACGTCGCCTCCCATGGTTTCATCGCCGTCGCACCACAGGTCTCTCATCTCCTGCTCATTAATAATTACTCCTTCTTTAAGAAAATATCAGTCTATATATCAGTCTATATAGAGGGAGTAAATATCAGTCTATATATCATCATCTGACTAACTACTACTAGCTTGCAATGGCAACAGCTCTACTGGATGGTGTCCGAGCCCGATGCGGACGACATAGACGCCACAAAGCGAATCACCAACTGGCTTGCAGATCATGACAAGGGGCTCGCCCACGTCCTCAAGGACGTGCTCAAACTTGAGCATGTCGAGCCTGACCTGTCCAAGCTGGCCCTAGCCGGCCATAGCCGAGGCGGCCAGACGGCCTTCGCCGTCGCCCTGGGACTAGGGGACGCCAAGACCAAGCTGGAGCTCAAGTTCTCCGCCCTCATCGGCGTCGACCCCGTGGCCGGGGTTTCCAGAGCCCAACAGTTGGAGCCCAAGGTGCTCACTTTTGAACCTGACTGTCTCGACGTGGGGATGCCGGTGCTGGTCATGGGGACTGGGCTGGGTCCCAAGCACATCGGCGGATTTCCATGCGCCCCGGTGGGCGTGAACCACGCCGAATTCTACAAGGAGTGCGCGCCGCCTCGCTACCACCTCGTGGTCAAGGACTACGGGCATCTCGACATGCTGGATGACAATGTGCCCTATATCATCAACAACTGCATGTGCATGAGGAACCAACACGACACCAAAGATCTTGCTAGGAGGACCATGGGAGGAGCCATGGTTGCCTTCCTCAGGGCTAAATTGCGAATCGATGTTCGTGATCTCATCGCCATATATCATAATCCTGAGATCGCGCCAGCCGTCCTGGACCAAGTTGATGAGTTTCTTCCTTGCTTCGTTGGACGGCCAAATCCGTCGTCTGTGTGAGAGTTATATTACGTGCCTATGCCTATCTATTACTCCTAAATAAGGTGTGTTGGTGCATGGCCTTGTCATGGCTCATGACTACTATAGCACGTCCAGTCTTCCTAATTACTAAATAATAAGCACTAATGTCATGTGTGCATGTATCTATGTAGAATATATATGTGTTGTGTGCTATTTATCAATCCTTAAATGATGTTCATGTACCCTCAAAACAAAATGTATTTATTTTGTTGTGAAGTTTCCTACTTTATTTTCTCATACTATAACTTGGAACTAATTTGAGAGAAGTGCATATTACAAACACAAAGTACCACCAAAGTGTAATATACTGATACGTCCATCGTATCTACTTTTCCAAACTCTTTTGCCCTTATTTTGGACTCTAATCTGCATGATTTGAATGGAATTAACCCGGACTGACACTGTTTTCAGCAGAATTGCCATGGTATTATTTTTGTGCAGAAATAAAAGTTCTCGGAATGACCTAAAACTTCACGGAGATCAAGTACTTTATGCGGAAGCGTACAAACTTACAGATACTTGGCGATATCTCCTTCGTACTCGATGCAGCCCATGTGTAGCCCAGGGCTGCACCTTTGCGTCTCCAGTGGTGAGGAGATGTTGGGGAAGAAGCAGCACGGCGACGAGGATGGCAGCAGGTTTGCCGCAGGCACAGCTCTGCGGTGGCCGGTGGTGGAGATGGCCTTCACATACCTCAGCACATATTCAGGATCGGCTGTTAGGTGGGTTTAGATCGTGGTTCTGTTTTTCATAATGAAAACCCCCTTTTCCTTATATATATGTGTGTGTGCTGGGTACATGGGACCAAAATCAAACATGTGGATGTGTGGTGTGCTTTCGATCATTGCACACCTGGGGTCAAAAGGCTCCCCCTTTTCTCTCACGGTTTGTTTCAACCGTAGATCAATTCCAACAAATTGCCCTACATTATCAACAACTGCATGTGCATGAGGAACCAACACAACACCAAAGACCTTGCTAGGAGGACCATGGGAGGAGCCATGGTTGCCTTCCTCAGGGCTAATCTGGGAATCGATGCTCGTGATCTCATCGCCATATATCGTAATCCTGAGCTCACGCCGGCCATCCTGGACCAAGTTGATGAGTTTCTTCCTTGCTTCGTTGGACGGCCAGACCCGCCGTCTGTGTGAGAGTTATATTACGTGCCTATGCCTATCTATTACTCCTAAATAAGGTGTGTTGGTCTATGGCCATGTCATGGCTCATGACTACTATGGCACGTCCAGTCTTCCTAATTACTAAATAATAACCACTCATGTCGTGTGTGCATATATCTATGTTGAATATATATGTATTGTGTGCTATTTATCAATCCTTAAATGATGCTAATGTACCCTCAAAACAAAATGAGCTTCCTATTTATTTTGTTGTGAAGTTTTCTACTTTCTTTTCTCATACTATAACTTGAAACTAATTTGAGAGAAGTCCATATTACAAACTCAAACTACCACCAAGGTGTAATATACAACTCTAAACAATGAAATCATCTATTTTACAAACTCAAACTTCCAAAAAAAGGACAAAAAAATAATCCTGGACGGGTTTTGACCATTGTCTACCTAGTCATCAGCCCAACCAGTCTGCCACATCACCCACCCACTAACCTAGCCCCACCTCTCTCCCCTCACTCACCCAACCACTGCCTACAGTTGCCCCACCCCATGGCCGTCGTCGCCGCCTTCTGCCATGCCACCATGGCCTCTAGCCAATCGCCACCGTGCAAGTCTGGCCTCCTCCTCTTCTCCCTCTCGCATGCTCCTTCCCTACCCCACCTCGCGCCACCTAACGACCTCCATGCAGTCGCCGCCCCCAATCCCGACATCACCGCTCCATGGTCCACCTTCGCTTCTGCTTGTTGGTTCATGCCCCTATTTGGCTTGAGCCTCGACCGCTAGTTCGGCCGGAATGGGAGGCTGGATGAGGAGTAGGAAAGAGGGAGAAGAGGAGGAGGAGGAGGCTGGAGCAGTGGTTGTTGTGCCGAATCGGGGCGGTGATGCGACTGATGGGCGGCGACATCTATGGTGCCTCGAACACGGTGGCCTCGTGAGGTGAAGAAGGAGAGGGAGGTGAGGGAGGAGAGACGCGCGGAAGGGGGATGTGCTCGCCGATCGGTGGTTTTGCGGTGGGCTTGGAAGGGATGGCAGGGGGGTGGATTTGTCGAGTGGCGCTACAATTTGAGCTGTCGGGGTGGGAGGCCGTGGTGAGAGAGAGGGGGAGGGGGGGTTAGGTTTGACTAGGCTGTTCAACAGCTGTCAAAGATAGTCAAAAACTAGTCGAGGGTTCAACGACGACTGCGGTCCCGGGGCGATAGTTCTTAGAGGCACGTGCATGAAGATTTCCCGATTGTCATCGACAAGGTCAAGCCAGTTTCGGTAGTGAAACAAAGATATCGGCACGTCAACGGCTTGTTCTGGCGGCGGTAGTGGCTGTTCGGTGGTCTCGAAATCTCGATATAATTTTATTATGTTTGAGGTGCTTTGTACTTCCTGTAAACTTCAATAATAAATCTAGATCATTTTTGTAAATAATAATAATAAAACTAGTCATGATGACCTTTCCCGTTCCTAGAAAAACTAGTAGTTATGGAAAATAATAATTTTTCTGATCTTAAATAAGTGTCGTAGTTTTGAACTAGTGTTCAACACAAGGTCTTCCATCCCCTCAAAAAAAAACACAAGGCCTTCCAAAAAAATATGTTCAACACAAGGATTACATAGAAAACAATTCAGGGAAAATAGTATCGAACCGAACCGAAACCGGTCACGTTCCGCAGACCGTACCGACCATCGGGCCTCTATATACGAACAACCCGGCCGGCCCAACAACAGGAACCGACCAGGGCCGGCCGACGGAATCGCCTCCCCCGCGTCCAAGATCGCATGGCCAACTACGGAAACCCCTCCCCGCCGGCGCCGCCGACCGACGACGACTTGGTTTTACATGGCTTGCAGCAGCGGGGGACTGTGCGGCGCGTGTTCATTATCAGCCAAGGTGCTTCAGATCTGAGCCAACTTGAGGCTGACATCGAGGAGAGAATCGCGAGCCGCCGCCGCCCTGGTAGCACGGCCACCGACAGGATCCCGAGACGCCGCAGCCTTGATCGCATGACCAACTTGAGCTACCCGTCCCTGCCGCCCAGCCACTACCATGTTAGCACCTCCTTCCTAATTTCTTTTCTTTTCTCAACCCCAACAAAGCATACATCCATACTCCGTTGTTTGCCTTGATTTCTGTTAACATAATTAATTGATGAATTGTGTGTTTGTTTCAGCCATACTAACTTGATTCTGCCTGGCTTCTTGCAGTGGGGCGCTCCAGGCTTTCCCCGGCCCATGGTCATTCCCAAGCAACTCCCTCCAGGTGATGAACGTGCTTATGTACACGAATATTATCCTCCTAATAATCAGACCGTGCACTGTCTACCTCACGAAGACGGAGCAACGAAGGTGGTATGCCTGACCGAGATGCTCCCGTCACACCACCTCCTCGAGGACGACGAGTTTTACCAGCGCTCTTTGGAGGATGTCGACGAAGAAGCATGCGTGTTTAGCAACTTGGTGAATGTGGTCATCCCGCGGCCCGGCCCAAGCAATGTTGATCCGGTGGTCGCTGGAGTCGGGAGGGTCTTCTTGGAGTACTCGTGCCTCGACAGCTCGAATCTTTGCAAGATCGAGATGGATGGGAGATGGTGGGATGAGAAGCGAATCGTTGCAAGGTTCTATCCAGAGGACAAGTTTGCTGCCGGAGACTACGGCTACGAGCCTCTGACAGATAATACTTAGTTAGATAGATCTCGACCCAAACCCAATTAATCCCATGTCTTGTCTGTCAACTGCGTAGAGTTTGGTAGTTGACATCTTTGTTGGTAGTGTTTCGAAGCACATTGTAAGAAAGAGTTGCTGTAATCTCCATACATTACAATACATATGTACTTGCAATTTTTGTACTATATATACTAACAAGCAGTTATCTATAAAATACATGCAAAGATTCAAACAATACCATGAAAAAGTAATTTCAATCACAGGAAATACTTGTGAACCGTATGGTACTATCTACTAGTATAAAACTGTTTTTCACGGTCACATCAGCACATGGTTCAAAACCCTAAATACGATCATTCTGTTGAGAATAAAAACATGAGTACTTGCAAAGGGAACTAGCACTTTGAACGAATGCAGATCAATGGATCCATGTGCTTAAAGTTGAGTCTAAAGACCATACATTCAATGTGATGAACACCAGATGTTTCCCTAGCACAAGGTCTAACATTTGTGTAGCCAAGTAGCTAGCAAGACGTGTAGATCAGTAGAATTTGGAAGCAAGCTTTACTATGAGCTCGTTCACAACATCTGGATAGGTTTTAGCTATATGCTTCCAGCCTTTGGTACGCAATAAGATATGTAACTTTGCGGGAGACAGGAATCGCACGAACTGCACGCACGCCTCCTTCAGGCGACAACAGTGGTACTGCTCGGCTAGATCAAGAATAGTCGCCACCGAGCTCACGTCTAGGTGCTCACACAACTCGTCTTCGCACATCAACTTGAGTTTTGGGAGATCGTACCTATCCGCCGCTACGAGCAAGTGCTGCAGCCACGTCACTTGTTCGTCCTCTTCATCATATTCTTCTTCCGACTCGTCCTCGTCCGTGTCTCCTTCATCTTCATCCTCCTCCATATTGTCAACCTCCCTCTTGGGCAGCGAGTCATTGTAGATGAAAGTTAGCAAGGCCCTGAACACACTTGGTGCCATATCTTCTATGTGTATGACACTAGTAGTAACCTCCATCATGGAGCCAAAGAGCTGCGCCCTGAAGACCGAGGACCGAGTTGCAAGCACACACCGATGCGCGGCGAACGTCTCGCCACCGACCTCGAACGTCACGTCCACGCCCAACTTGGTTTGAAGAAGATCTCCGAATTGCCAGAGTACATCCGGCTTGGGCACCTCAATGGTCGGGGTGGGAGCAAAGCTACCGACGGCCGTGGCAACAAACAAGTCGCACCGGATGATGAAATTGTCATCCCTGAGATGTCTGGACGCCTCAAAGTCCCCGCTCTTCATCCACCTATGGTGGCCACATGAGGTGCCAGTCGAAAGAGAGGCTACTTCGGATGAGCGAATGCGTGCTGACTTCTGCTTGTCGATCTGGTCGATGAAACTGAACTCGAACTGCACCTTGACATGGCGCGAAACATCCTGGTCGAGAGCAAGGGTAATGGAAGTGTGGCCCTCGTCTTGGGAGCGCTCGCCGTTGAGCGAGTACAGGATGACCCACCAGTAGCCTCCCACCCTAAAAGGCCTAGACTTGATGCTCTTCCCGTTGGGCGTGTTCTCCTTGCTGCGTGAGTAGCCATCCACAATGAACAGACGGTAGCCGCTGGCCGCGCCGCAGACGACGACCGATGCAGATTGCAGCTTACCATCAGAGATGACAGATACGCCGGCGTACGGCATGACGAGCCCAGGACCTGCAGGCAGTGGTGGAGTTAGGATTTTAGAGTGGGGGTAACTAGAGATAATTTATCTTTAATACCACTCATTAACACGCCAATGCCATGCGCATATGAATCGATTCCTATACACTCCACCGTTCTAAAACTACTACTTCCTAGGTAAACAAATGTAAGACCTTTAGTGATCTAAGATGTTTTAGATTTGTTTACAGAGGGAGTAGATGATGCCCTGCACTTTGTTGTAGGAATATTTGCAATATATCTGAATAATATTTGATTGTATGGAATATTGGAGTAATATGACAGAACTAGAACTGAAAAATATGTATGATTGTTGTGCTTGATTATTGTATAGTTTTTTTGGCAAATAATATAAATAGCATAATACAATGAAAATTCTCGTGCATGCTTTTCATATTTAGGTGGGCCTTTTGCTATGCAGAGTTGCATGTTGAAGTGAGCATTTGTTGCTTTGTGAGGTGACAAATGCTTACATATTAAGAGGAAAAAGGTTAGTAGGGGCTAGCTAAGGTATAGAAGATAAGGTATATTCATCTTTTCAAAAGTTAAAATCACTAACTTTGGCCAAGTTTATAGAGAGAGAGAGAAAAATAAGTGTCTAGAAGGAACTCCCGCCCCCAATTTCATTTATTCAACGAGACTGGTAAGGC